AAAGGCTGATCCACAAGTTGGCTCGCCTTCTCATGGAATGAAGCCCCCAAGCCCTTCATGGTGAAAATTAAACATGAAGTCTAGTGTAAATGTAGGCTTAAGTTGAGTTGTCGAGTTATATTAATGCGATACGCACTAAACCGCATGTAAATCTTTAAAAGCACCAACAAGTTTTAATTTGTTTTATTATATAAACGAATATAAATTTTCAGTTTTCAATATATCTCAGGTACGGATTTCTTCTTACACGTGTCAGGTCTGCCGGGAGGACATGCTTGAGAAAAAGTATGCGGTTCCGCAGTCATCTCAGATGCCGGTTCTTTTCCAGTCTTGCAGCCAAGGTATAATATTTAGGTTTAGTATATGAAAGATGCGCCGCTCAACTTAGTGAGCAAATTGAAACCGCTAACGCTCCAAATATACCGTCCGCTCAATCCTCTATTCCCTCGTATGGTCCTATTAACTTACCTCCTTGTGACACACAGGTCTTCAGAGAGCAGACTCTTGGCCCATATTTCGAGATTTCTTAACAGCAATCCCAAAAGTATGGCAATAAACGAGCACCCTCCAAGGTTGCTTTACAGCTGTGGAGTTGTCCGAAATCAAAATCAATCTACCTAAGATCAAACTTTGCTTATGGGAACAGTGTATCTTGAGAAAAATATGAAGGACGCTGCCTCAGGCTGGAGCGGTAGAAGAACTTAAGCCCGGCACAAATAGTCACGCACACTCCAGAATTGTTGGAACAATAACGCTTAACTTCTTTGAGAACAAAATTTCTAACAAACAGCATAAATTTAAATCGTAATCCAACTTGTAAATTGTGATCAAAGTAGAATTATCCTATCCTTCTGTGTCCAGGATTCTTCCAAATGCCCATCAACGAATGGACAACTTGTATCAGGCAGCAAAACTATGTTTGAGCTTTTTCGCGAAGGACCATTTTAAATGGTGAGACCCACTTGTTTAAAAGTTCAGGGGAACGTGATTTGAAACTTTTTTGTGTTGATAACGCTAGCCTTTTACGAATTATTAACCTACTTCACTAAGTTCTGGGTTTTTGATCCAGTACATGGAGCAAATAATGCGGATAACTAATTGTTTCGCATCATGATACGATCGAGCTAGAAGGTGTGTCAGTATCGCAACGTATGGAAAAAGGATAAGCTGCCATAATAATTACTATACTATACCGGATACTTCCTGCCTTTAACGCAAGTGATTAACGGACACATGCCAATTGCTATCTCTCTGTTGCGTAAGTCATTGTCGACATGAGTGGGATGCCTCTTGCAGCGATTGATAAAACGACCATCCTAACAAAATTCGCGTATTGCCCTTACCAAGACCGTCAATAAGGGTCATTCTTCTTTTGCAGTTATGAGCCAGTCTGCTACAGCCACCATAAGCTGTAAGCTACCAAATCCGGGGGAGCAATACCGAGACTAACTGTAAGGGAATAACGGCTGACAGTTTGGCCAGAAGAACTGATCCGCATAGCTCTAGCCGCGGAAGGAATACAGTTTTGGAAGTTCGAAGGAGGAAATACACTGATTGGTGCCGAGAGGCATGACAAAAACCGTGCACTTGAACCTTACTTGATAGAGAAAACTGAATTCATCTTTGAAGCTAGAGTTCCTGCATAAAGAGCTTTGTTTGGATTACAAACGCAGATACCTATCATGGTGGCGAAAGGAATACTTCCGTAATTCCGCCTTTTGTTACCGTCTGCGTCGCCCGATATATGTATGCAGAAAACTAAGTAGTTTCTGGGACAACTGCGTAATTTGCTGTAAATATCTAATGGTTATCGAAGATGGACGAATCTGGCCTGACAAAGAGAACACACAATCGGTCTGCCGTTTTGCTACGCCCTAGAACATTAAAGCAGTACGAGCTTTACTGGGGCTTACAAACTTTTTCAAAAAATTCATTTCTGGGTATGCACAAGTTTCACGGCTCCCAACAAATCTACTAAATAAAGATGCGGTGTTCAACATTGATGACGCAAGCAACAGTCGCTACGAAGCTTAATAAATATACTTGTAATCGAGCCTGTATTACATATTTAGCAGCAAGAGAGCTCCAAGCGGATGTACCCAAACAAGGATTCGGAGCTGTGTTACTGCAGCAGTTTGATAAAAGCTTTCACCCGGTGTATTACTTAGAGCAGAAAACTACAGAGGCTAAGTTTAGGTCACAGTTACTACCTAGAGGTCAAAGCAGCACGCCTCTGACTCAAGAAGTTTCGACACTATTTGTTGAGGATTTAATTTAATCTAGGCACTGACTGTGAACAGCTTAAGAAGATAAGCCGTAGGAGGTTTCCCAGCGGATTTTGTATATGGACGGCAATACTTTCAAAGTCTTCTAGGTGATAGAACGAGACATATAGACTTTCTGAGCCGTTTTCTGCAGAAGTGCATGTTCGTGACGACAAAGTTAACTGCTCGCATAAAAAGGGCCCAACAAGATGACGACTTCATTAAAGCGATATTAGATGTTTTTAAGCAATGCACATGCAAATACCATAAGCTCAAAGGGTCTTCTATTCCGAAACTGATGGAAAGAGGTGTGATTCGCGGGTCGCACAAAGATAGTAATTTTTCAACAGCCAAAACAATGCATTCGATCTAACACCAATACCTGATTCCGCATCTTGAAAGCAAGGTTTCAAAGTTGAGCAGCATAAGTCTGTTAATTATTGTATTTATAAAACGCGGCGTCAGTTCCGTGTTGTTGCTATTGCCTGTTTTGATTCTTTTGCATTGGTGCTCCCCTGTGCATACACTTGTTTGTGCGTGTGTTCGCTGCATACTTTCTGCTTGTGCATCGCGGTCTCGCAAATTTTTTCTATTGCTTTTCGCTCCAAACAATTTGTTTGTGTACGAATAATTGTTTTTTGAGTGTTTACTTGCTCTATCTTGTGCACCGTTTTCTTTTTGCTCTGCGCTCTCGCAAATTACATATGCATTTAATAATTATGTCGTGCTGTAAGAAACCGTGCACGTCAAGCAGGCTGATGATTCTGCACTGCCGCAATTTGTTAATTGCTGGCTGTGTGAGAATATGATGCATGCTAAATGTGCAGGTCTCACTGGGCGTGATTGCGACAAGATCGCTGCAATTGCCAAGAAGGGCTACGGCAGCTTGCGTTGGTCGTGCCCAGAATGCATCGACAAGCAAATTGAGAGAAAATCAGTTCTTAAAATTGAATAATGTGGCTAAGCAGCTCTCGAGTAATTTTGACTCGAGTTTCGAGTTGCTTGGCAAATATAAATTCAAGTCCCCAACCAATCGCCGGTTGGAGCCTCAACTTTTGAAATTGCCCTCTACGTCTGTTCAGACACCTACGCCTTTCTTGTCCCTTCTTAGCAACTTGGATGTATCTCCAATGTTGTCCTTATCGCCTACTCCAAGCGACTGTCCAATTACCCCTATTTCAACCCCTGTAGTAGTCCCAGTAGAGCCCGTACCTGAACCCGTTCCAGTTAATCAAACTGCCTCAGCCCCGTCAGCTCCTGGCCGCAAAGGTAGACCTGCGCGCAATCTTGCCCAGGTTGTTAAAAACAATCAATGTGGCTCTTTAGCTCCTCCCACTCCTGTATTACCTACAGCCCCATCAGCACCTATTTTAACGGTAGTTGCCCCTCGTGGGCAAGTTTTTGTGTCTCGACTTACGTCGGACACCACTTCTGAGTCATTGGCAGCCTATATTGCTAGCAAATCTTCTGCTATCGTTTCAATAACCAACTTTAATTTATCCACCTCTCGTGAAATATCATCATTCAAAATAAATGTATCACATGATATGTTCCCAATCATTTGTGATCCCAAATTTTGGCCTCCACACATGATTGTTCACGAGTTCAAGCCTAAAAAGCGTAACCAGCCTGTCACCCTTCCAGTTCCTTCAATACAGGGTACCATTTCTGCCCCAAAAACTAGCTTCATCTTCTGACAAATCTTTATTCATTATCAGAATGTTAGAGGTCTCATTTCAAAGCTTAAACATCTTTTCATGGCCAGCACTTCTTTCGATTCGGATATAATAGCATTTTCAGAAACATGCTTAAACTCAACTATATCTGATTTTGAGATTTTATCTAATAACTTTATTTTGTATAGAAATGATCGGCCGACTCGAGGTGGTGGGGTGTTAATTGCCGTTAAAGCCAATCCCCAGTCAGAACTTTTCTGTTTTAGTACGCCTACTGACGCTGAGATTGTCTCAGTTAAGGTGTCTTTTCCTACACGGAATGTCTATGTAACATGCTCTTATGTCCCACCTTCTTCTGATATTCAAGTTTATATGAAACATATTACTTGTATTAAAGAAGTTTCTTCACAGGTGCGTGATAATGACCTATTTATGGTGTTAGGTGATTTTAATTTGCCAAACATCTCTTGGTCATTATTTACTGCCAAAAATTATCTAGTGCCTTCAGCACAGCACAATTTTATAGACTGCATGCTTGATTTTTCGTTGTTTCAAATCATTTCAATTTCTAATCATTTGAATAGAACACTTGACCTTGTATTTGTTAACGACTACCTTATTTCTAATGTGTCTAGGTCCCCTCCTTTATCTCTTCCTGAGGATGTCTATCATCCTACTTTAGAGATTGCAATGCTCAATTGTAATCCTTTCATTTCGTGCTCATCAGCCAATAAGCCCCGATCGCAAAGGAAATTATTCTTTGCTGAATCAGCTTATTTATGCAACCGATTGGTCTTTCTTATATGACTCGGTTGATATGAATACTGCCACTAATTTTTTTATAACACCCTAAACTCCCTCTTAGATGTATGTATTCCTAAGCCAATTCCTTCGACTACTTTTTCCAAACAACCCTGGTTTACTCCCAGATTATCACATCTAAAAAGTTTAAAATCTAAATATATATTGATGGCTCTGGCGACCTTTCCATATTTCAATATTTATTTGTTGGCTGGCTCGAGGTCCGTGTTTGTTAAAACAAACAATGAAAACAATTTTATTTTAATTTTCTTCCGATATATTTCGGTTGCACATCGGCAAACCGTCTTCAGGGCACTAACACCAAGATACAAAAAACAATTAACAATTATAATACAATAAATTACATACATTATTTTACACGTCTGCGCTTTTTGACGTGGAGATTGTTACTGAGGTTGTTTGGCTGTTTAAGAGGTGTCTGTACAAGTGAGCGCAATTTTCTGTGTCTGTCTTGTAGTTTAGTCGTTTGTTGGTTGGTGTGTTAATTATGTGTAGCATTTCCAATGTGTGTCGCTTGTTATAGTGTTGTTCTTGTTGTACGATTGTTGTTTCATCAAAATTTGGTGTGTGGTTGCTTTTTATACAATGGGTCATAAGTGCTGTTTTCTGTATATTATTTTGATGTCTTAGTTTGAAGTCCGATTTATGTTGACTAATCCTTGTTTTTAGCTTCGATTTTGTTGTACCTATGTAGACACTATTGCACTTGTTGTTGTTTTGTTGATTATCATACTCTTTGGGTGGTTTGAATTGAAGTTGAGTATTCGTCCGGAGGCAATGGGTTTTGCATACAGGAAAACAGATATTTCAAATACGAAGACAAAATATACACACAACTTAAAGGAATGCCAATGGGATCACCGGCTTCCCCAGTAATCGCAGATATATTAATGGAGGAACTGTTGGACAAGATTACAGATAAATTAAAAATAAAACCAAGACTCTTGACCAAATATGTAGATGACCTTTTTGCCATAACGAACAAAATAGACGTGGAAAATATTCTAAAAGAATTGAATTCCTTCCACAAACAGATAAAATTTACAATGGAATTAGAAGAGGACGGGAAATTACCATTTTTAGACTCTATTGTAAGCAGAATGGACAACACACTCAAAATAAAGTGGTATAGGAAACCCATAGCCTCCGGACGAATACTCAACTTCAATTCAAACCACCCAAAGAGTATGATAATCAATACAGCACTAGGCTGTATGAATAGAATGATGAAAATATCGGACACAATATACCACAAAGAAATTGAACATGAAATCAAAAAACTCTTGACCAAAAATGACTTCCCCCCAAATATAATCAAAACATTATTAAAAAGACGACAAATCGAAAGAAAAAAGCCAACAGAACCTGCTAAAATATACAAATCACTAATATATGTACCACGACTATCAGAACGCCTCACAAACTCAGACTGTTATAACAAACAAGATATAAAAGTAGCACACAAACCGACGAATACATTACAAAAATTCTTCAACAAGTAATAGTGCAATAGTGTCTACATAGGTACAACAAAATCGAAGCTAAAAACAAGGATTAGTCAACATAAATCGGACTTCAAACTAAGACTTCAAAATAATATACAGAAAACAGCACTTATGACCCATTGTATAAAAAGCAACCACACACCAAATTTTGATGAAACAACAATCGTACAACAAGAACAACACTATAACAAGCGACACACATTGGAAATGCTACACATAATTAACACACCAACCAACAAACGACTAAACTACAAGACAGACACAGAAAATTGCACTCACTTGTACAGACACCTCTTAAACAGCCAAACAACCTCAGTAACAATCTCCACGTCAAAAAGCGCAGACGTGTAAAATAATGTATGTAAAATGTTCGAAATAATGTTTAATTTATTGTATTATAATTGTTAATTGTTTTTTGTATCTTGGTGTTAGTGCCCTGAAGACGGTTTGCCGATGTGCAACCGAAATATATCGGAAGAAAATCAAAATAAAATTGTTTTCATTCTTTGTTTTAACAAACACGGACCTCGAGCCAGCCAACAAATAAATATTGAAATATGGAAAGGTCGCCAGAGCCAATAAATATCAACGGAAGGCACGCCGTATGCACAGCAACCAACATGAGCTACGCAAAAATAAAAACTAAATACAAGGATTCGAAAAGAACAATTAATAAATTCCAACTAACACTGGTAAAATTAACTAAACTTAAATCTAGTTTAAAATTTTTGTTAAAATGTAGAAAATCAAATTTAATACCTAACTTCATCAAAAACTTGACACAGCATTTGACCATACTGACCACTGACAATAAAACCCAGCCTGACATAACAAGAACATTGACTAGACACACACATTTTTACCATACCAAAATATTAAACTTACTTATAAAACGCAAACACAACCTATTACAAGAACAAACAAAACATATGGAAAAAGCAAAAACAAACATAGAACAACTGATGACCACAGATGACGCAAAAGCGTTTTTTGAGAGCGAGAGAAATATAGAAAACAAAATAACAACAACACTCAAGAAAAGACAAGAAACGAAACACGATAAGTTACGAGATCAACGGAACCTAGCCTTAGCGGACAACAACACTCAAAGAGAGTGGTTTGTAAACAAAACAAAAATAGAATTCCCGCCCAACGTCGTAGCGTTACTCGCAAAAGGGCCGAAGTTCGCTCTCCCAATCAGCAAGAGAGATTTTCCTCTCTTGAAATACATCGCAGACGGTGAGGAGCTAGTGCAAACAATAAAAGAAAAGGAAACACAAGAGTCGGCGCGCACAAAATTCTCTTTGTTAGTCAAAGAGCATAAAACCAAGAACAACCAAAACAGTAGGGATCGAGCAATACTGGACACAGTGGAACAGACACGAAAATTACTGAAAGAAAATATAAATATTAAAATTCTATCGTCGGATAAGGGCAACAAAACCGTAGCAATGGATGAGGATGAATATAAAAATAAAATGACAAATATTTTAAACGACTTATGCGCGTATAGAACACTGAGACTGGATCCGACATCAAGACTACAGACAAAGAATAACACCTTCGTAGCACAATTATTCAAGATGGGTCTTATTTCAAAGGACGAAAGAAATAAGATGACTACAACAACAGCGGTACCTCCGAGGATATATGGACTACCAAAAATACACAAGGAAGGAACACCACTGAGACCACTGTTCTTCCATCGGATCTCCATCTTACGGGCTGTGCAAATATATAATACAAATATTAAAAAATCTGACAATGGACTCTAGGTACAACATCAAGAACGCGGTAGATTTTAAAGACAGAGTCAACAACTCCCAGATTAGAGAAGAGGAAACATTAGTATCTTTTGACGTAGTATCCTTATTTCCCAGCATACCAATAGAATTAGCACTTGACACAATAAGACAAAAATGGACCAAATTAGAAGAGCACACGAATATACCGAAACAACTATTTATGGACATAGTTAGATTTTGCATACAGGAAAACAGATATTTCAAATACGAAGACAAAATATACACACAACTTAAAGGAATACCAATGGGATCACCGGCTTCCCCAGTAATCGCAGATATATTAATGGAGGAACTGTTGGACAAGATTACAGATAAATTAAAAATAAAACCAAGACTCTTGACCAAATATGTAGATGACCTTTTTGCCATAACGAACAAAATAGACGTGGAAAATATTCTAAAAGAATTGAATTCCTTCCACAAACAGATAAAATTTACAATGGAATTAGAAGAGGACGGGAAATTACCATTTTTAGACTCTATTGTAAGCAGAATGGACAACACACTCAAAATAAAGTGGTATAGGAAACCCATAGCCTCCGGACGAATACTCAACTTCAATTCAAACCACCCAAAGAGTATGATAATCAATACAGCACTAGGCTGTATGAATAGAATGATGAAAATATCGGACACAATATACCACAAAGAAATTGAACATGAAATCAAAAAACTCTTGACCAAAAATGACTTCCCCCCAAATATAATCAAAACATTATTAAAAAGACGACAAATCGAAAGAAAAAAGCCAACAGAACCTGCTAAAATATACAAATCACTAATATATGTACCACGACTATCAGAACGCCTCACAAACTCAGACTGTTATAACAAACAAGATATAAAAGTAGCACACAAACCGACGAATACATTACAAAAATTCTTCAACAAGATAAAGTCGAAAATCCCGATGATCGACAAAAGCAACGTCGTTTACCAAATACCATGTGGCGGGGAAAACAACAACAAGTGCAATAGTGTCTACATAGGTACAACAAAATCGAAGCTAAAAACAAGGATTAGTCAACATAAATCGGACTTCAAACTAAGACATCAAATTAATATACAGAAAACAGCACTTATGACCCATTGTATAAAAAGCAACCACACACCAAATTTTGATGAAACAACAATCGTACAACAAGAACAACACTATAACAAGCGACACACATTGGAAATGCTACACATAATTAACACACCAACCAACAAACGACTAAACTACAAGACAGACACAGAAAATTGCGCTCACTTGTACAGACACCTCTTAAACAGCCAAACAACCTCAGTAACAATCTACACGTCAAAAAGCGCAGACGTGTAAAATAATGTATGTAAAATGTTCGAAATAATGTTTAATTTATTGTATTATAATTGTTAATTGTTTTTTGTATCTTGGTGTTAGTGCCCTAAAGACGGCTTGCCGATGTGCAACCGAAATATATCGGAAGAAAATTAAAATAAAATTGTTTTCATTGTTTGTTTTAACAAACACGGACCTCGAGCCAGCCAACAAATAAATATTAAAATCTAAATATTTTAAAAAATTTAAAAAGTCTGGTTCATGTACAGACTTGTCTAAATATTCCATAGCCAAGTCGAACTTCTTTCTTCTTAATTGTCAATGCTATGAGAATTATCTAACTCGGTGTAAAAGGCAATTTGCCCAAAGACAGTTGTATAATTGAAGCGTAAATCTTCAAGTTTACCATCTTCTTTTTTTCTTGGCTTGGATAAAGCTAGCAATGACACTGATTCTGCTAACCTCTATGCTAATTTTTTCCAATCAACTTACTCTTCAGTCTGTCCTTATACTAATTCTTACCCTTATACTATTTCTTCCGCTAGTTCTTTACTTCCTCCCATTATTTCACACTCCTCTCTCCTATTAGCTATAAACTCTTTAAAATCTTCTTAGTCTCCTGGGCCGGACATTATTCCTAGTTGTCTACTCAAGGAATGTAGTTCTTCCCTTCTTTATCCATTGCTAAAGCTTTTTAATCTATCCCTTGATATCATTCCTCTTCACAAGAAAGGTGGGAAGTCTGATATACAAAATTACAGGAGCATTGCAAAACTGTCCGCTATTCCTAAATTATTTGAAAAAATAATCACTTCGAATTTGCAGCATTTCTGCAAATCAGTTGTTTCCTCTGTTCAACATGGATTCGTAAAGAATTGGTCAACTACGACCAATCTGCTTGAGTTTACCTCCTTGGTAAATGATGCTTTCCTTTCGAAAATGCAAACTGATGTCATTTACACTGATTTAAGTAAGGCGTTTGAATCTGTGCACCATGACATTTTACTTTTTAAACTTGACCGACTAGGTGTCCCTCTGTCTCTTTTGCTTTGGATTAATTCTTATTTAAAAGGTAGGACCCAAAGAGTAATGCTAAGGCTGACTACCTCTAAGCGGGTTCACGTTCCTTCCGATGTTCCTCAAGGTAGTCATCTTGGACCATTACTCTTTACTCTTTTTATAAATGATCTCCCCTCTGTTATATCACATGCCCGTGTACTCATGTATGCGGGCGATGACTTTTTCTATCATACACTAATCCCCTATATAATTCTCATCTACAAGACGATTTGAACGCTATGCAATTTTGGTGTTCGGCCAATCAATTGCATCTAAATTGTTCAAAGTGTATGTTTATGACATTTAATCGTACTACACCTTATCTTGTCAGTTATACAATCGACAATATCCCTTTGCAAAGTATACTAACAGTTAAGAATCTAGGCGTTATTTTTTATTCTAAACTCTGCTTCAATCTTCACATAGATACCATCGGTAATGAGGCAAAAGGTGTACTTGGATTCATTAAACGATAGCCTAAAGAGTTTAACGATCCTTTCATAACAAAACTTCTGTACATATATATATGTATTCCCCCACCGAGTTGGTGATTTCCCATTAATTTTCTCTTTGTCCTATCTACTTAACACTCTTTATCTAACTTACATTGCTTTACTTTATTAACAATCTTCTTACTTTCTTGTTTTTCTATTTATTGTATTGTCTTTATTAATATATCAAATTAAGATTATTATTAATTTTACTTGAGAACACTTTTTCCTACTTACAACCTTCAGCTTAGATGTTGGCTCTAATAGCGTCACTGGCAAAATTAGCTATGAGAAGGGGCACCTCCATCGGTCGGTGATGCAATTTAGAAAATTGTATTCTTTAACTAGGCTTTTAGCATATAATTCTATTATCTATTGTATTTTTTTTTTTTTTTTTTTTTTTTTTTTTTTTTTATGGTTTAAGTTACTTTTATTTTTGCTAATTTTCTGTTACTTTTCACTTTTAGCAACTTTTATCAGCGTGAGTATCTATTGTATAACCTATTGAATAATGAGGAAGACACTCGGTTTGTCGACCATTATTAAATAAATAAATAATATAGACACATTTTTGGATTGATAGACTAAAATTCACAGTCAAGCTAAACGACTGTTAGAGGTAATCAACGAGCTGATAGAGGCGCAATTTAAGACAGAAGCTGCATGACCAAGTGAAGCACAGAATCTATATACGCGCAAGTATGAAAAAACTTGGTGTTAAGCACGGATGCAGAGTGGAAGATGTGATAGCTATCAAGGACTCAGTTTCTTGGAGAACGCAAGTTGGCCAGCGAATATCTAGGCCCTATAAACTTACCAAAGCCAAACGTTATGTAAAGTTTTAATTCAATTCATGGGATTTTCACACTTTTCCAAAAATGTATTTCTCTTTTGTGGAATGAGGGTCAAAGAATTAGTGAATGACGTTTCGCGCTCAAATTCATTTTAAAGGAAAAGAATAAAGGCATCCTCGGTAAAAAGTGCAATTCAAAGATTTCTTTGGTGATGTTTTAATTTTTTTTCCGATATGCTTCAAAATTATTTTTAAAGCTATATATAAAGACTTGATGTATACGTATTTTAACGATTTGGGAAATTCCACACGCAACAGTGGTAAATTGGCGGAAAACCTTTGTATGAAAGTTTTTGTTTACCATACGATCAATTTAAAAATCATTTTCAAAGCTTTTTGAGAACATTTATTTTATACGTGCCACGGGTAAGACCGGGCTATACCCGCTAGTATATAATGCACACAAATGTATAATCTCGTGGCGGAACTAAAAGAAAAACTTTGTGTCGTGCACCAAAAGTTTATTGGTTATTGTTTATTATAGACGCCAGCAAATCGCCACCAAGGCATCCGGCTCAACGAGGCACTCTTCACCGGCGCCTACCCCTAAGGGTAGGCTAAGAAGCGGCCAGTGAGTCGTTTTATAACGTCCATCCTCGCTCCGAGCAACAATAAAAGTAAGAATCAGACTCAGATTTGAGCCCCCTGAAAGAGAAAAGTTTATAATTTTGTCGTGAAATGTGTAACGGATAGAAGGAGACATCTCCGACCCCATAAAAAATATATATTCTTGATCAGCATCAACAGCCGAGTCGATATAGCCATGTCCGTCTGACCGTCTGTCTGTTTCTATGCGAACTAGTCCCTCAGTTTTAAAGCTATCTTAATGAAAGTCGGTCGAAAACCAGGTTTTTGATTAAAAACCTGTTTTGTTTATATATTATATTATATGTATATTTGGTCAAGATATCTGACCAAACTCGGCATTTACTATTTTCCCGGTACTTAGATACGGCCTATGGGCATTATGAAAAGGTTGGGTCTGCAAGGGTATTAGATCTTCGGCGTGCCGAATAAAGCCCTTCATTTTCGTTTCTCTGTTTTAATGTCTATTCAGTTCAATGTCGTTAAAGAAATGTATTCTGTAAAAAATTAAATTTTAGAAATTAATATCAACTGTGAATAACAGTAAGATAATGCAAATAATTATACGCACCTCTTGAAGTTGAGAAGAAATGTCCGCTGGCAAAATTATTAATAACAGATTGGAGATATCCTGTAAAGAGATAATGAAATAAGAAATAATAATAATTGTTAACAATTAAGAAATTTCCGGCTAAATTTACAATGATGCGGAGAAGGGGCATGACGGCCGACACGAGCTGATAGAATCCATCTAGTGGCAAAAATGAGGGAGATTAGGTGCTCGTGCCAGGTAAGGCGGGTACGCTGGGTCCACAACCGGGAGCCGATCTGTTTACATTTACTTGTTAGAGAAGCTAGAGAAGTTCTACACCCAGAGAACCGAAGAGCCAGCCGGCGCGGCCCAAACAAATTGTTCTATTAGAATGATTACAAATTGAATTTTCAAGCAATGAAATATCTGGCATTGCTAGCATTATTGAATAAAAAGTAAACAAAAAGGTACCGACTGGAGAGTTGACGGCTATTTATACATCACCTTTTGCTTTTAAGGCTTAAAGTCGGGAATAGTCACATCAAAAATAATTGGAAACTGTAGTCTTAAATGATGATACTTCAAGAAGAGTGACGATACTAAATTACGATAAAGACACGCTAGATTGAATAATATTATAAAAATAACAAGAGGTTTTAGTCGGGAGCTCCCGACTAGGGGATACCCTGAACCCTCTTATTCTAACACCAAATAAATTAATAAAAAAAAGTTCCCTTGGCAGGGCTCGAACTCGCAACTGACCGCTTTACTTGCTGTCGACTCTTCTCAACAGCCACACCAGAAAAAAAAATAATACTTTCCCCGGTAGAGCTCGAACTCGCGAATGACCGCACCACATGCTATTCCTCTACTCAGCAGCCACACCAACAATTAAGTACTTATGATAAAAAAGGAACTAAAATAACATTACAAAAACAAGATGAAATTGCCATGCTATTAGAATGCGAAGCAGACGCGCATGAATGTGTGTGTGTACTTGTATACAGAAATTCTTAAAGCTGCTGCCCCATTCAATTGCGCAGTTGCATATAACTTTGGTTTTTCTTAACCGACCTTTATGAAATTTTCTACAGTATATCTTATTGTACCGTAGAAAATTTGCGTATTCTGAAAAAGTCAATTTCATTTAAATTGTGGCTTAAATTGGTTGGCAATAAAATTTGGGTTATTAACTTGATTTATAGCTCTGGGGTGGTAGCGGGGAGGTGGCGAGAGGTATGAAATGAAAGATACTTGAAATATCTATAATATTCTAGAAGCAACATATCATGTTTGGTGGCTCTAGCTCTTATTATTTACCCAATCTGCTAAAAATAAACAGGATGTTGATATCGATTTTTATCGATTGCTTGGAAACGGAGGTAGTTATCGATTATCGGAAACAAACTCGATCTGCGCGGGATTTAGGAGCACCTACATCTTATAGGTTCTGAGATCCTTGCGTTCATACATTCGGACGGACGGACGGACGGACATGGCTAGATCGACTCGGCTATTGATGCTGATCAAGAATATATATACTTTATGGGGTCGGAGATGCTTCCTTCTGCCTGCTACATACATTTGGCTTTTTCACAAATACAATATACCCTTATACCCAATTTTAATGGGTTCAAGGTATAAAAAGCTAATTTAAATAGACCGACACCCCGACTTATTAAGTTATCCCCTATCTACGCTAACTGAAACAAATAATTCTTATCATATTTTGAATCAGAGGTTTTAACTTTTTTTAAATCATTTACTCTTTGTAAAAGTCTAAATTTATTGTTTATTTTTGTGTTTGTAATTTTCTCTTAGCTATGAGCCAGACTTTTAATATATCAACAGAATTTACACGAGCAAAGCAGTTACAAACAGTTCCAAATAACCCGATGAGTCGCCTTTTTGAAATGGTATTAATTAAGCGGGAATGCTATATTAATGATTTATGGGAACTAGTGGGCTACGAAACAGTATCTACCCGTGATGATACACGCAATGAACTGGAGCGCGCAATAGAATGGCTTCTTAAACGACTGGCTGCCTTAGATGTTGTAGCCTTTGGTGAGCACATGGGCATGCAAATATTACCCGATTGCTTAAAAATCATACGTATGCCCAAAGTTATTATTGGAGTTCTTAAGCATTGTGCAAACAAGCCAACTATTCTAGTGTATGGTAACCTTGATGTGGAGGAAGCATTATTAGACGACGGATGGGTTACAGATCCTTTTGTAATGGCGGAGATTGGAAATTATTTATATGGCCGAGGTGTGGCCCTCGATAAAGGACCACTTATGTGCTGGCTGAACGCTATTCAAGCATATCGTGATGCTGGCTTGCGACTTCCTATTAATCTAGTATTTCTTATTGAAAGCATGGCGCACAGTGGCAGTCTTGGCCTGCAGGATGTTTTACAGCAGCGTATCAGTTTTTTCCGCGAAGTATCCTGTGTTGTAATGGCTACACGACGTTGGCAAAGTAATATTACACCATGTATTGTATATGGTTCTAGAGGATTGGTATACTATCATTTAGAGGTTGAATGTGCCAATCGGTCTTTAAGTAGTTGTGAGCACTCTGGAACCTTGTTTGAGGCACTTCCTGATCTATTTTATTTGCTAAGCTCGCTGGTTGATTGTCAAATGCACATTCTTTTCGAAGGAACTCTGGAATCATTACAAATTGATAGAAATGTGTTTCGTTTCACAGAATTCAATTATCACGAGTTTGGTCAGAGTCTTGATGTCCAAGACCTGCCTCATCAAGCACAGAAGCAGGCGGCGTTGGCTGAGAACTGGGTCACGCCTCATTTATCAATACATGGAATTGAAGGTGCTCATGCCGAGAACAATGTACGTTTTATCATCCCACATAAAGTGACTGGAAAATTTTCAATTTCGATGGCACCCAATCAAAATTCTGCGCAGGTAACCCATGCCTTGCAGCAGCATCTTGGAAATGTGTGGGTACGAAGAAATTCTCCCAATAAGATGAAATTATGTGAAAAGTTAGTAATACCTTCTTGGAACGGTCGCTGCGACAGTCCTGAATACAAGGCTGCTTTTCGCGCCATGACTCAAACTTACGAAATAAAACCCAACTTTATTCGCGATGGTGGTGCTCTTATGGCTCCTTCACTCTTTCAACATTATTTACAGAAGAATGTGTTAGTTTTGCCTATTGCAAAGAATGATTGTGGTGGTTCTCCTGTTAACGAGAGAATAAGTACACAAAACTATATTATGGGTGCCCAGCTTATGGCCGCATTTATGTGGGAGTATGGAGAAAGTTTTCATCAGGTGGAGGATATTAAATAAGATTTACTGATTCTCTAAAAAATACATTGTTAAGAAAAATATAAATAAGGGATATCCCGCTGTTAAGTTACTCTATAGCTATAACTACATTTAATTGAAATTGTCGAATGGGGTGGCGAAATCCGGTAGAAAAGATAAAAAACAGATTATAAAGGGAGTTAGAAAAGGTTCGTTGCAAAATCCAAATACTGCAGTATTGTTATCAAATTCCCTACAAGTCATCTTCCAATACATTCAGGGTATTTGTTCACTGTAATAAATGCACAGTAAGCCTACTAACGCGTAATGATTGTCCGAATGCACCCACTAAACTATTTTCGTATAAAGTTGAATACTTTTACGACGCGAAAAAAATTGGGAGTTTACAATGTTTTACAATAGAAGGAATCTACTGAGGAATAATTTTAAAGTATATTAAAACGAGAAAGAAAGGCTATCTTCGGCACGCCGAAGATCTAATACCCTTGCAGACTCAACCTTCTCATAATGCTTATAGTGATTTGCCCGTATCTATAGAAGCACAGTGTAAATAGTTAATGTCGAGTTTAGGCAAGACATCTTGAAAAACAAAAAGGTTTTTAATCAAAAACATAGTTTTCGACCAATCGTTCCTGTGATATAGTGGTCCGATCCAATTGGTTTTGACATATGTGCTGCATGCAACAGAAAAAGGGAGTTCTGCAAAGTTTCATTAAGATAGCTTTAAAACTGAAAGACAAGTTCGCATAGAAACAGACAGACGGACAGACGGACAGAATATGGGGTCGGAAATGTCTCCTTCTATGCGTTACACATTTCACGACAAAGTTATTATACCCTCTGCAAGGGTATAAAATCAACCAAAAATTGGAAGTTCTTCCATTTTAGATTCTTGCAAAAAGTTAAGTTCGTGATAAAGTTAAGGCAAACAGTTAAATTAACGAATACTCATTTGAATATGAAAATTTATCGGTGGAAGATGTGTGCATTTCTACAAAAGCTTTATATTTATCGGCCATTAAAAAAAATAGAACGTCCCAGTCATCACGATTTATCAGCGTCATTCAGTAAAAATGATTCGTCACAGTTACACAAAATGCGGTTACCATCTCTTTGAAATTCCTCACATGAAATTCCTTCAGCTTCAAGTCTTAGAGGTCTTATAGATACCATATCGGTATTATATTCGTCTTTGCAGTCGCTAGGCGATGGAAAGGATGTTGTAAGTGCAGTGCTAATTCACTTGACAATGTCAAAAAAAGACCAGGCAACAAAATATTGATTCGAAGAACAGCTTGACTATGAAAGTTTACCATCTTGTCAGATTGCGCTGCCAAATTGAATCGGCGCTATCAACATTCAGCTACCGAAGAATCAACTAGGGGCAAACCAAGGCATGAGACTAATATGGGATAACACAATAAGGGATAACACAATTTGTGCATCAACTGTTTAAAACGGAGGCATGCAGTAAAAAATTGTGGAGGATCGAAACGTCGAGTGTGTTCAAAGCCACATCACACTGTACTTCACAGGTATAGGAGCGACAGCTTCTCCACAGCAGTAGGTTTATGTAAGGCATGTTCTTAGTGCCGAACTGGTAATCCAGCTGTAGCAATCTACCTAAATGAGACTTTGATGGTAGGTCCAACTATTCAGAGGGAGCTATATTTAACCCTTGCACGATTTCTGTTGCATAAGTATTCTTTGACAGCCGACATTTCAAAAATGTATCGACAGGTAGACATCGCTAAGGAGGATCGATAGTTTCAGATAATTGTATGGAGGCAATATAAATCAGAAAGTTTACAGAAGTTTCAACTCAACACTGCGACTTATGGCACTGCCTCCGCTCCCTTTTTGGCCGTATTAAAACTCTTGCAATGATGTGGAATCCCAAAACTGATATATTCAATTACTCTCTGGACGACTCGAACAATTCTTTAAAGCCAACTAAGTGGAATATTCTCTCAGTTGCATCTCGATTGTTTGATCCATTAGGATTGTTGTGTCCCTTGATTACTAGAGCAAAAATGTTGGTCCAGGACTTCTCATAAATTTACACACAACCAGGGTAAAATTTAAGCAAACTATTGCAATTACATAAAATTTCCATTTCTCGATATGTTTTAAAATCCATATACAAGAACGCACAATTTCATGGATTTGCAGATGCTTCTAGCCATGTTTATGGCTGTTCCATATATTTTCGCACCCACGACATGGGGAAAATAGTTGCGAAGTTATTTACAGCAAAGTCTCATGTGGTCCCTCTTAAAACAAAATCGATTCCACAACTAGAATTATGCGCTGCTCATCTATTGGCAATATTGTGGTCTCAAATCGCATGTCTCTTTGAGGAATATGAGGTGGAGAGCGTTAATTTACTGGCTTAAAAGAGAAACTAGCTCATTAGCAACCTTGGTAGCCAACAGAGTAGCAGACATACAAGAACATTCTGTTCTAGGGGCACAGATGTGGACGATTTGATTTGTAAGCTCTGGTTTAATGGTCCTGAATTTTTAGAACAAGTCCCAAGTGAATGGCCGCAACTCCATCCATTTGAAATATCACTGGAAATGCTATCATCTCAGAAAAATAAGACAGTGACAGTGCATTCTGTAGCACTACAGAAATCTAATGAAATCTTGACGCTGATCGAGCGGTGCTCCTCGTTCATAGCATACATCATACGTGCGTATCATAGCATACATCAGCCGTACTATCAGTTTTCTCATCACAGAAGCTGCGACTCGCCTTCCTAAAAATGGTACAAGTCTGAGCTTGGTCATGAATTGGTTCAACTAGAAAAATCAAAAACCTTAGCACCTCATCTTTAGAGTTTGAACCCATTCGTACATGAAAGTGTAGAAAATGAAACAAATTTCAAAATCATTCGAATTAATGGAAAATTGCTAAAGGCACCCATTTCATCAAGATTAGAGGGAGAGCTCCAATCAAAACTTATGTAGCCTTCTTTGTTTGTTTAAGGCGGTTCACCTGGAACTTGTTGCTGATCTTTGCACTGACTGTTTTCTATTTAAAAGGTTCATCGGCAGACTAGGTCTCTCTCATAAGGTCTACAGCGAGAACGCCACCAATTTCGTGGGACGTCCTGAAGGAACTCCAGGCGGCGTTGAACGGCCAGAAGTAGCAAATGCAGAAGTACGCAGCGGAGCGGGGCGTCGAATGAGTGTTAATTCCACCGAGGGCGCCGTGGGAGATCACCGTGAAGGCCGCTAAGCATCGCCTGGCTCGAGGAGTCAGCAATGCCAGACTTACACACGACGAGGTGAGCACGCACTTAATAGAAGTCGAGGAGCTACTCAACTCGCGCCCTATCGCTTCCCCAGGCAACGACCCCAACGACAGGGAGGCCCTAACACCATGCCACCTGCTAATCGGGCAGCCTCTTCTACCTGGGCGCGTGATGGCAACTACGAAGACGGTAAAGTGCGCGTGGTGGAGATTCGCACCCCGAACGCAATCATCAAGCGGCTAATACACAAGGTGGCAGTGCTACCAATAGCTTAAGCCTTTAGGCCTTCAACGGAGCTTACTAATGTAAACGTGCAGAGCGCAGCGATGGTTCTCATACGCACTTAAATAACAGACGCTCTTAACAGTTGGTTTTTCGTTTTCTTGTATTTGTCACCAAAAAATGGATATCGGTCGGCACATTTTCCTAAACGGCGTTCAACAGTTAAATTGATAAAGTGATTGAAAATTTTGTTGGATTATCGTAAAAACCCTCACGAAATATTCATATACAGCAATTCTTGCAATTAGCGCTTTTTATTTATTTAATTTATGGTAATGGTTGGAGAGGGGTGTGGTGATAACTAAAAAAAAAGACACTTCATATTTATATTTACACTATTCATAAGATTATGAAAATTAAGCCCCTATCCTTGAAGCAACGATTTTATTAGAAAACATAATACAAACTATTGTAATTTTTGCATAGTTATCGAAAAGAATTGTGCATAGCGTGCAGGTAGGTAGGAATAAGGGGTGATAATTCCCGGTAGGTCTGGACGTAGCAGAGAATTGAAGACGCTCTAACAGAAAAAAATTTATGTCGCCAACTGCCAACTTATCTGGGAAGTCAAAACCGGGAATAGTCTTAAGGTTGCTTAACCTCGGAAAAGAAAGAATAATATAGCTACTGGAGTAGATTGGCAACCAAAGATTGTGTTCCCAATTAAAACCTCCTAAGGCAAAAGCAGAAATTGCATCTGAACTGCCTAAATGAGACGCTGGCTATTATTATATTGCGAACTGGATGCAAGAGTAGTATTCAAGGATAGGGCGAACATGAGAGATGCTTGTTGAGAAGTTTGGTTTTGAAAGGATCGTTAAACACCTTAGACGCACGTTTTATGAACCCACGTACACCTTTGGCATCATTAACGAATTTCGAATCAAAAAGAACGCCTAGGTCGATATTGTCGGTTGTATAACTGACAAGATAAGGTGTAGTATGATTTAAGGTCATAAACATACACTTTGAACAATTTAGATGCAATTGATTGGCCGAACACCAAAATTGCATAGCGTTCAAATCGTCTTGTAGATGAGAATTATATAGGGGATTAGTGTATGATAGAAAAAGTCATCGCCCGCATACATGAGTACACGGGCATGTGATATAACAGAGGGGAGATCATTTATAAAAAGAGTAAAGAGTAATGGTCCAAGATGACTACCTTGAGGAACATCGGAAGGAACGTGAACCCGCTTAGAGGTAGTCAGCCTTAGCATTACTCTTTGGGTCCTACCAAAGCAGAAGAGACAGGGGGAAACCTATTCGGTCAAGTTTAAAAAGTAAAATGTCATGGTGCACAGAGTCAAACGCCTTACTGAAGTCAGTGTAAATGACATCAGTTTGCATTTTCGAAAGGAAAGCATCGTTTACCAAGGAAGTAAGCTCAAGCAGATTGGTCGTAGTTGACCGATTCTTTACGAATCCATGTTGAACAGGGCAAACAACTGATTTGCAGAAATGCTGCAAATTCGAAGTGATTAATTTTTAAAAAGCTTTAGCAATGGATAAAGAAGGGAACAACTACACT